ATCATATTCGGATTGTTGAATGGAACAATGCTAGAACTGAATCCAGCAGGCTTTGTCTCAAAAGGAAGACTTGCTCCACTGGAAGAACTTCCCAGAAAAAAAGGATGGTTAGGATGATGATGATGAGGATGAGGATGAGGAAGATGAGGATGAGGATGAGGAAGATGATGATGAGGATGATGACTATTTTGGGTACGAATCAAAATCTTCTCAGCATGCTTAGCCACATTCTTCTTCAGTTCATCGAGAGAGGCCTTCAGTTGTTGAAGTTGTGTCAAGCTCATATCGTTCTTGCGAGCCATCCACCAACATTGATTCTCATTTGCCTTTTTCATATGGTTAAGCTCCTCGCCTCGCTTCTTCTCGATTTCGAGTTGGTTCAAAACCTGTACATGTAGTAAAATTAATATATATTATTTATACCTAAAACACTTTATAAGAGAGGAAAGAAATTAAAATAACCTGAGTGAGCTGCATGTTTAGCTCACGGACACTAGTGTTCCGATGAGCCTCAATGAGTTTCATGGTTCCAGAAGCAGCTTGTGGTGGATTACCACTAACAAAACGTTCCAACACAGTCTGGACACAAGGATGGCCAAAAGAGAAGACCTTCTGACCGGGTGAGAAGACGATAATAGCAATCTCAGCCCCACATAGAGTGCTCAATTCACTCGCCTTCTTGAAAAGTCCAGCTCGACGTTTGGAGAAAGTGACTTGGAGATTGCTTTCATTATTCATCTTCCCCATCTCAATCTTTTGTCGTCCCTTACTCTTTCTCGCCATGGTCACAAGTATTGAATATGTGCAGAGAGAAATTAATAGAGAGATTAATGGAGAGAAATAATTTGTATTGAAAGAGGGGGAAATGAGTGATATTTATAGGAGATTTGAATCAAGGTTGTGAATTAATAAATTTTAGGTAGACATCCTGTATATATTTTCTTGTTTTAATAATTTACTTGTTTAGGGTTGCTTGAGAATCTCCTCCTTATTGAAATATATGGTAGGAAAAATCTGGACAATTAAAGTTAAATTTTAGCTGTACTTTTATACAATTTGCAAAATCATCATTATTTTAACTTATATAGATACATAGCTAGATGGATATACATGAAAATTGAACCTTCTTGAAAATTTTACATTTTTTTTGTTTTATATATGTATATATATTCTCGATATTAATTTGGGATAGAGAAGGTAAGAGAGCTACTTTAATTTTATTTATTTGTCTCTTGTTAGGAGACACAATGAATCAAATTGCAATGATAAAAATCCTTAGATAATTTATGTTAAAGTAATAAAAAATTTAAAAGTGTATTATAAGATATATTAAAATTTAAAAATTATGATGAATTCTTTATAAAATTAATTGATCATTAGTACAATAGATAATTTTAATTTTATTTATAAGCATTAAGGAAGGATCGAAGTTGCAAATTAAACTATTACTATCAATTGGATCACATTTAAAATTCAAAATTTTAAATAATTAAATTTAATTGTAACAGTCGATTAACCTTTATAACAATAAAGTTTTAATTCGATTGCGTGTGATATTCAATTAAAGTTAAAATTTATATAATTCATGTTTAGCTCTTTCAAAAGGTGACTTACAATTATTTTACTTGTACAACACTTCAACTTGAGCCTGCTTAAACAAAATCCAATTTCTTTGATCCATTTGATTGAAAATTTCTATTTAATACTCTTTGGTCCTAATATAAAAACTTCCATGCATTTTTTAGAGAATTTTTATTTAAATTATATCTCATACAATTGAATAAGTTAAATAAACAATTAACATTTAATAAAGATATTATCCATACTTGGGATATATATTCCCAAATATATAGATATATTTCCATACTTAGATAAGTACTCTCGATAAAATATTTCCCGTGAATATTACCTAATTTCATTATTGATTTATTTTAAGATTAATTACTCACATTAAAGTAGTAGAATTTTCTTAGCTACCATTTATGTGTTACAACAATTTTCTTAGCTCGAGCTTGTGCATGGTACCCACATAGGCTTAGTATTAAATTATTTATAGGACTTTAACCAATATAATTGATTTATTATGACTAAACACTTTTGACTCATCATCATGATTTATTTATCGCATCAATAAATTGGAGGAACATACAGGTCACCGAGAGTGTCATTTAATAAGATAAAAAAATTATGTTATTATTGCACTCTTTGAAAGTACCACAACGCTACAATGAAAAGGAACATGTTGAAAACCCAAATGCTAAGGCATCAGATATCTAACATAAATAAAATAAAACAAACTGCAAGCATTGTGTTTGCAACTCTTTTTAATTTCATCCTTCCGAGACTTAGTCAAGAAATGCACTTAGTATAATCTTATTTTTCCATTTCCTTGAATATATATATTGGGAATATCGTTGAGCACATTAGGTATTGTGTTTGGGTCGTTTAATACATGAGCCATCATGTTTAATTTGTTCTGAATTATAATCATCTCAGCTTCTTTAGTAACTTTCTTCTTCAATTCCTCAAAAGATGTCTTTAAATGCTCAAGTTCTGAGAAATGCATTTCCTGTTTTTGACCCATCCACAACCACTTACTCTCACACATTTTTTGTATTTCCTTAAGCTCTGCATTGCGATTTTTCTCAATTTCCAGTTGATTCATGACCTATTTTCATATGTTTTAAATAATAAGTACAATTCAGTATAAGTTGTAATCGAACAAAAGGAAGATCAAATAAGTAAAATAAGTTTTAAAATCTAAATATGGTCTACTCAAACCTGTGTGAGGATCATATTGAGCTCATTGGGATTCATCAAATTGGGATTCATCAAATTGGAAAATTTCATTTTGTACTATCCAACAAATAACTTTATTTATAAATTTATTAGCTTTAATTACTTATTCATTTAGAGTCAACAGATTAGACATTATCATTTTGCACTATCGAATATATAACTTGATTTAGATTAATTTTCTATATAAATTTCTTAGCTTTAATTACTTATTCATTTGGAGCAGATTGCGTATTATCATTTTGCACCATCTAATATATAAACTGATTTATAAAATTTAATTACTTATTTATTGGGAATTATTAGGCTGGACATTATTATTTTGCACTATTCTATATATAACTTGATTGAGAGAGATTTTCTATATAAATTTTTTTAGCTTTAATTACTTCCTCATTGGGAGTTACCAGGTTGGGGATCTTCATTTTTCACCATCAAACATATAATCTGATTTAGATGGATTTTCTATATAAATTTTTTACTTTAATTACTTACTCATTTAGAGTCATTAGGTTAGACATTATTATTTTGCACTATCTAATATATAACTTGATTTAAATGGATTTTTTGCATAAATTTCTTAGCTTTAATTACTTGCTCATTTGGAGTCACAAGATTGAGCATTATCATTATACACCATCCAACATATAGCTTGAGTTAGGTGGATTTTTTGTAGAAAATTTTTAACTTTAATTACGTACTCATTTGGAATCATCAGGCTGTGCATTATCATTTCACACTATTCAACCTATAGTTTGAGTTAGGCAGATTTTCTATAAAAATTTCTTAGATTAATTACTTACTTATTTGGTGTTACCAGATTGACTTTATTATTTTGCACTATCCAACATATTGCTTGAGTCAGGTAAATCTTTTTTATAAATTTTTTAACTTTAATTACTTACTCATTTGGAGTCACTAAGTTTGACATTATAATTTTTTACTATCCAAAACATAATTTAATTTAGATGAATTTTCTATTCAAATTTATTAGCTTTAATAACTTACTTGTTTGGAATCATCAAGTTGGAAATTATCACTTTTCACCATCCAACACAACTTGATTTAGATGAATTTTTTATATAATTTTTTTTTGGTTTTGACGACTTACTCGTTCTAAGTCACCAAGTTGGGCATTTTTATTTTATATTGTTCAATATATAATTTGATTTAGACGAATTTTCTTTGTAAATATATCGGCTTTAAAGACTTATTTGTTTGGAATGCTTTACAATCACCTCATTGAAATATATAGTAAAAAAATCTTGAAAATTGATATAATATTACTTTAAGTTATACGAATTTACCATTCCAAATTATCATTGCTTGTCGAACGAAATGAGATGAATATTCTTAGAAATAGTTATTAGCAGCCACATTTTCTTGCTCATCAAATTTGACAAGATAATGAAAATAGTGTCAACATCTATGCACGGATAAATAAAATTTGAATAACACATCCCAATACACAATATTATATAATTACCAACCTATTTCCTAATATATATATATATATATCAAATTTGGGAAGATAATGAAAATATTTTTCATGTTTCTCCAAACATGAATATTAAGTTAGTCAACAAAAAATTACAAACTTGGCAATAAAATTACAGCGAATATTGCGAAACCACCATGAAGTTTAACATGTTATATATAAAAAAAAATTAAAATTAAAAAAAAATCCCAAAGTACTGAATAACATACAATTACCAACCTACTAATTATTTTAATAACAATTTTCCTCTTTTCAACCTTAGCCATAAAAGGTTTTGATGAAGCTTCCATATAAAACTATTCCAATTTGGCTCAATTCTTCACTATGGTGAGTTGTCTTTCATAGTATGTTATCTTTCTTGACGCTTTTGATGATTGCTCATCTTCTCTATTAAGCTTCTCTACATTGATTCAAAATGATATATACTCTATTTAAATCCATAGGGACTTAAAAGTGTTTCCACGAGAGATATTTTAGTCAGAATTTTAGGATTATCTAACTAAATTTTTACATTTGCTTTTTCATTAATCTCGTCATTCTTCCCAATAAATTTGCAACAAAATGGAAGGATTTAGATAGTCATGTTTTTAATCGAATATTCTCAATTGGAATTAATATTTTCTTGAAGGAATCTGTCTTCGAGAGCGTTTTTTTTTTTTGAAAAAAACTCAGACCCCAAAGAGATTGGGGTTCCTCCCAATTTCCATCATAAGTAGTAGTTATGCTAATGAAAAAGCACAATATGTTTTATATAAATTTTATAAATATAGAACATGGTTGTAATTTTTCAATTAATTTTTTCAATCTGAGTTATTATTTTAACAACACTCGAATATTTATAATTTATTGAAATATCATATTTTTAGTATAAACTATAACACGTTGCATAGTAAATTTATTAAGTACACATAGATATTTTAATATAACGTGCACTTGAATCCGTATTTGCATAATGCATTTTTAATTTACTATTTATTTTTACTTTCATTGTCATGCGTGTTAGCTCACGGACACTAGTGTTCCGATGAGCCTCAATGAGTTTCATGGTTCCAGAAGCAGCTTGTGGTGGATTACCACAAACAAAACGTTCCAACACAGTATGGACACAAGGATGGCCAAAAGAGAAGACCTTCTGACCGGGTGAGAAGACGATAATAGCAATCTCAGCCCCACATAGAGTGCTCAATTCACTCGCCTTCTTGAAAAGTCTGGCTCGATGTTTGGAGAAAGTTACTTGGAGATTGCTTTCATTATTCATCTTCACCATCTCAACCTTTTGTCGTCCCTTACTCTTTCTCGCCATGGTCACAAGTATTGAATATGTGCAGAGAGAAATTAATAGAGAGATTAATGGAGAAAAATAATTTGTATTGAAAGAGGGGGAAATGAGTGATATTTATAGGAGATTTGAATCAAGGTTGTGAATTAATAAATTTTAGGTAGACATCCTGTACATATTTTCTTGTTTTAATAATTTACTTGTTTAGGGTTGCATGAGAATCTCCTCCTTATTGAAATATATGGTAGGAAAAATCTGGACAATTAAAGTTAAATTTTAGCTGTTCTTTTATACAATTTGCAAAATCATCATTATTTTAACTTATATAGATACATAGCTAGATGGATATACATGAAAATTGAACCTTCTTGAAAATTTTACATTTTTTATGTTATATATATGTATATATATTCTCGATATTAATTTGGGATTGAGAAGGTAAGAGAGCTACTTTTAATTTTATTTATTTGTCTCTTGTTACGAGACACAATGAATCAAATTGCAATGATAAAAATCCATAGATAATTTCTGTTAAAGTAATAAAAAACTTAAAAATGTATTATAAGATATATTAAAATTTAAAAACTATGATGAATTCTTTATAAAATTAATTGATCATTAGTACAATGGATAATTTTAATTTTATTTATAAGCATTAAGGGAGGATCGAAGTTGCAAATTAAATTATAACTATCAATTGGATCACATTTAAAATTCAAAATTTTAAATAATTAAATTTAATTGTGACAGTCAATTAACCTTCATAACAATAAAGTTTTAATCCGATTGCGTGTGATATTCAATTAAACTTAAAATTCATATAATTCATGTTTAGCTCTTTCAAAAGGTGACTTACAATTATTTTACTTGTACAACACTTCAACTTGAGCCTGCTTAAACAAAATCCAATTTTTTTGATCCATTTGATTGAAAATTTCTATTTAATACTGTTTGGTCCTAATATAAAAACTTCTATGCATTTTTTAGGGAATTTTTATTTAAATTATATCTCATATAATTGAATAAGTTAAATAAACAATTAACATTTAATGAAGATATTATCCATACTTGGGATATATATTCCCAAATATATAGATATATTTCCATACTTAGATAAGTACTCTCGATAAAATATTTCCCGTGAATATTACCTAATTTCATTATTGATTTATTTTAAGATTAATTACTCACATTAAAGTAGTAGAATTTTCTTAGCTACCATTTATGTGTTACAAGAATTTTCTTAGCTGGAGCTTGTGCATGTGACCCATATAGGCTTAGTATTAAATTATTTATAGGACTTTAACAAATATAATTGATTTATTATGACTAAACACTTTTGACTCATCATCATGATTTATTTATCGCATCAATAAATTGGATGAATATACAGGTCACCAAGAGTGTCATCTAATAAATGCATCACAACTCTTATAATGTATAAAAATTTGATCATGGAATTCAATAGTTTGTCTGTGGATGCATAATTACCATATAGTTAATTCATTTCATTTATTATATTTCAGATTAATTCAAGATGTGACTTGTACCAACCATTATTTAACTGAATAGTTGGTATATTTCTTCCTATATAAGAGATTGTGCTTCCCTGTATGTTTTTAATTAAATGTTATTTATATTATTTTAAATTTGATGTATATATATATTAGTTAATTAACCAACACAGGTATTTATTCAAAAATAGAGACTCATAATTGTCAACGTAAAAACTTAACTCGCAAAAATATGACATAATTGAAGGTTTTCCCAAAGATGATTCATGTTCTTATCGAAGCACGATTATGTGACTTTAATATCTTTTTTTTTATATTTAGACGTTACCTTTGTCTTGAGTTAATGAGTTAAAAGTAAATTACTTAAAATATTTTCTCCTATTACAACTCTTAGAATAGTTGGTTGATTTCAACTTGAAAATAAAAATAAATGCATAGATAAAAAAATTATGTTATTATTACACTCTTTGAAAGTACCGCAACACTGCAATGAAAAGGAACATGATGAAAACCCAAATGCTAAGGCACCGGATATCTAACATAAATAAAATAAAACAAACGGCAAGCATCGTGTTTATAGCACTTTTTAATTTCATCCTTCCAAGACTTAATCAAGAAATGTACTTAGTCGAATCTTTTTTTCTCATTTCCTTGAATATATATAATGGGATTATCCTTGAACATGTTAGGTATCGCGTTTGGGTCGTTCAATACATGAGGCGTCATGTTTAATTTGTTCTGAATTATAATCGTCTCAGCTTCTTCAGTAACTTTCTTCTTCAATTCCTTACGAGATGTCTTTAAATGCTCAAGTTGTGAGAAACTCATTTCCTTTTTCGGACCCATCCACCAACACTTACTCTCACATATTTTTTTGTATTTCCTTAAGCTCTGCATTGCGATTTTTCTCGATTTCCAATTGATTGATAACCTATTTTTATATTTTTCCAATAATAAGTACAAGTCAGTATAAGTTTTAATCCAAGAAAAATAAGATCAAATAAGTATATTAAGTTTTAAAATCTAGATATGGTCTACTCAAACCTGTGTGAGGATCATATTGAGCTCATGTATCCTTGAGTTGCGGTGAGCCTCAATGAGCATCATGGCTCCTGAAGTATCTCGTGGGGGATTACCACAAATGAAATATTCAATCACTTTTTCAACACAAGGATGACCAAAAGAAAAAGCCTTCTTACCAGGGGAAAAAACAATCATTGAAATATCAACGTCACAAAGAGTGGACAATTCACTAGCTTTCTTAAAAAGACCAGCTCTTCGTTTTGAAAAAGTTACTTGGAGGTTGGTTTCGTTACTCATCTTCACCATCTCAACCTTTTGACGGCCCTTGCCCTTCCTATCCATTGCTAAAAGTGAAAGAAAAAGACGATGTGAAGAAAAGATAAAAAAGTTGGTTTATAATTTACTAGGAACTGATAGAAAATGTGTAGTGTTTATAAGAGTCGTCGGACTGACATTATTATTTTGCGCTATACAACATCAAACTTTATTTAAATGGATTTTCTATATAAATTTTTTAATCTTTAATTACTTACTCATTTGGATTCATCAGATTGGAAAATATCATTTCGTACTATCCAACATATAACTTGATTTATAAATTTATTAGCTTTAATTACTTACTTGTTTGGTGTCAACAGGTTAGACATTATCATTTTGCACTATCGAATATATAACTCGATTTAGATTAATTTTCTATATAAATTTTTTAACTTTAATTACTTATTCATTTGGAGCAGATTTTATATTATCATTTTGCACTATCCAATATAGAAACTGATTTATAAATATCTTAACTTTAATTACTTATTTTTTGGAAATTATCAGGCTGGACATTATCATTTTGCTCTATTCAATATTTAACTTGATTAAGAGAGATTTTCTATATAAATTTCTTACCTTTAATTACATCCTCATTTGCAGTTACCAGGCTGGGCAATATCATTTTTCACTATCAAACATATAATCTGATTTAGATGAATTTTCTATATAAATTTTTGCCTTTAATTACGTTCTCATTGGAGTCATCAGGTTAGACATTATTATTTTACACTATCTATAACTTGATCTAAATGGATTTTTTGCATAAATTTCTTAGCTTTAATTACTTGCTCATTTGGAGTCACCAGATTGAGCATTATCATTATACACCATCCAACATATAGCTTGAGTTAGATGGATTTTCTGTATAAAATTTTTGACTTTAATTATGTACTCATTTGGAATCATCAGGCTGTGCATTATTATTTTGCACTATTCAACCTATAGTTTAAGTTAGGTAGATTTTCTATAAAAATTTCGTGGATTTAATTACTTACTCATTTGGTGTTACCAGATTGACTTTATCATTTTGCACTATCCAACATATTGCTTGAATTAGGTGAATTTTTTATATAAATTTCTTAACTTTAATTACTTACTCATTTGGAGTCACTAAGTTTGATATTATCATTTTTCACTATCCAATACACAATTTAATTTAGATGAATTCACTATACAAATTTATTGGCTTTAATAACTTACTTGTTTGGAATCATCAAGTTGGACATTTTCATTTTTCACTATCCAACACAACTTGATTTAGATGAATTTTCTATATAATTTTTTTTCGGTTTTGATGACTTATTCGTTCTGAGTCACCAAGTTGGGCATTATTATTTTATATTGTTCAATATATAATTCGATTTAGACGAATTTTCTATGTAAATTTATCAGCTTTAAAAACTTACTTGTTTGGAATGCTTTACAATCACCTCATTGAAATATGTAGTAAAAAAATCTTGAAGATTGATATAAGTAGGTTATATGAATTTACCACTTCCAAATCATCCTTGCTTGTAGAACGAAATGAGATGAATCTTCTTAGAAATAGTTATTAGCAGCCACATTTTCTTGTTTATCAAATTTGACAAGATAATGAAAAATTGTGTCAGCATATGTGCAAGGATGAATAAAATTTGAATTACACATCCCAATACACAGTATTATATAATTACAAACCTATTTCCTAATATATATATATATCAAATTTGGGAAGATAATGAAAATATTTTTCATGTTTCTCCATACATGAATAATAAATTAGTCAACAAAAAATTACAAGCTTGGTAATAAAATTATAGCGAATATTGCAAAACCACCATGAAGTTTAATAAGTTATATATAAAAGAAATTAAAATTTAAAGAAGAAAATCCCAAAGTACAGAATATCATACAATTACCACCCTACTAATTATTTTAAAAACCATTTTCCTCTTTTCAACCTTAGCCATAAAAGGTTTTGATGAAGCTTCTCTATAGAACTATTCCAATTTGGCTCAATTCTTCACCACGGTGAGTTATCTTTCATAGTACATTATCTTTCTTGACGCTTTCGATGATTGCTCATCTTCTCTAATCTTCTCTACATTGATTCAAAATTATTTATACTCTATTTGAATCCATAGGGACTTAAATGTGTTTCCATGAGAGATATTTTAGTCAAAATTT